GTGGGCCAATGGGATGATAATTAAGGAGACAGAGAGTGGGCTGATGGCACAATTCTGCTATGTCTCTCAAATGCTTGTGTAATATTGGTCTAAGCCCACTCTGTCAATACGGGCAAACAGCACACTTCTTTCCTCATTCTATTTCAATCTATGTTTTCAACCAAAGCCTCCCTTCACTTAAAGCCCAAGGCCAATCAGCTAGAACACACACTTCCTCAAACCATAAAGGGCAAGGACTTGCAGTCCTGAAGGTGGGAGTCAATGGCCCTGAAGCTTTTGCTCACATTTTGCCTGCTCCTGCAGGCACCCCAGGGTCTGGAAGTCTCTCTCTCTCTCTCTCTCTCTCTCTCTCTCTCTCTCTCTCTCTCTCTCTCTCTCTCTCTCTCTCTCTCTCTCTCTTTCTCTCACAATCTGAGATCTTATACTTGTCTCCTAAAGTTTATTGTGATTTTTGGTGATCCTTTACAAACAACATAATTGGGATGGATTGGATTGGAAACTTTCTTACCTGATTTTATTTCTCCAGTGTATGGGTTTTGCATGTCCATTTTGTGGAGCTGAACTATTCCTCATGAAAAATGGGAATCAAAGACCATATTTGGATTATAGACTTCAACTTAAAAGAACCTCTAATAATATAAAGAAAACCTAATTTCATTCTGTAAAAGTTAATTCCTAAGAGGCAAGGAGAAAAGGATCAGAAAACACTGGAGTGCTTCCAAGACTATCTGTGAAGTGTAGTTTTCACTTTTCAAGCCTATATTTCTGATGCATTTATTTATACTTTTATCCTTTTTTTGTTTGTTGTTTGGTCATGGCACTTGTACTCTGAGCCTGGGAACCATCACTGAGCTCAAGTGCTCTACCATGTGAGCCACAACACACTTCCGGATTTTTAGTGGTCACTGGAGGTAAGTGTCTCACACATGTTGCTGGCCAGTCTGACTTTGTACTGGGATCCTCAGTTTCAGCCTATTGAAAAGTGAGGATTACAGACATGAGGCTCCAGCACCCAGCACACACATTCTTGTGTTTTATGTCCCAACCCTGGGCTTGAACTCAGTGCATGGACACTGTCACTGAACTTCTTTTGCTCAAGACTAGCACACTACTACTGAGCCACATTTCCACATTCTGCTTTTTCTCTCTATGTGGTACTGAGGACTTGAACCCAGGGCTTCATGCATGCTAGGTAAGCATACTACCACTGCTGGGGCCAGCCACAACTCCAGCAGTGCTCCAGAAGAACAAGGGGATGATAATGGAAGAGACAGAGACAAGACCAATGAAGAATTTCTCTTTATTCTAGCAATGACCTTAGCTATAGACATTTTCTCTATGTGCACAATGCTTGCATCACATTTTTCTAGGACCCAATGTGCCAGCAAGTGCAGATCATATGCATCCTTCCTCATTCTAGTTCAACCTTTGTCCACCAAATTTCTACAGGTAAGCCTGCAAGGCCAGAAGTAATAGGGAAACTTCCTCCTATGAATAGGGCAGTGGTTGTGGAGATTTTGCTCACACCTTGCCAGCTCCTGGCACCTCTGGGTCTCCAATGTCTCTCCTTTATCATTTTGTAAATTGAGCAAGTGTCTATCAGCCTGAACCTTGAAAAAGCAGCAGATCATATATCTCAGGAAGAATGGAAGAAAAAGGCATACGAAAAGAAGAAAGAGCCAAATACCTAAGATATAGCAAAAGGTGTGTTATTATCCAGGTTGAATCCCTGCAGGTAATGGAGAAGTGATGCAGCTAATTCTGGGGGTGTGCTACCTATAGGGTGGAGTGACCAATATCAGATATCTGACCCTGAAGCTGCATAATGTCTAAGCTTAAATTATCAACGGACCAGATTCCTCAAATATGTCACTGGATAGTTGTCCAAGTCATATTTCCATCATATTTAAGAAGAACAACACAGATGTACTGACCATTAGCCTGACACATCATTTTTAACCACATCGTTAGCAGGTCCACCTGATTATCAACATATATCATTGCTGTTTCCAAATCATAAAACATATCACAATCTTTTTATCTACTCCACCTGCATCCCAGGGCACCAGAAATTTATCAAGCTAAAGAATTAACATGTTGTGCTGTATATATGGTTTGCATAAGGTTCACAGCAGAAGTAGTAGCACTAGCAAGAAGAGTTGGGGTACAATAAGGTTGGCAACCAATATTCCCAAAAATTGGCAGCAATGGCTAAGAGGCCTCTAAAGCTCAATAGCAAACAGAGACCCAAACTTAATCTACCATAATTGTTCTATCAACTAAACAGGCAACATAAGTCAAGGTAATTGAATAGTAATCTCAGAGGATTTATAAGGTTAGTGAAACTACAATTGTTCCTTCAAGAGGCATGAAACAACAGCCCATCCGTGAAAATAATACGCAGCTCAACTACCAGCGTGTACAGATACATAACACAAGCTTGCACTGTAAGTGATCAAGGAATCATGAAACAAAACAGGTCTCTGAAGCAGAGGTATGGAATCAAGACAGGTATTCATGCAAATAGGCCTCAAGGCAGCATCCAGTCTACAATGTCAGGGTGAGCTTGTCCACACAGGCTGACAAACATGAGGTCCAGTAAGTTACCACTGATCACGTCACTCCTCTGAAAGCAGTCCTGCAGTGAATATTGGGATGCTCCTAACACCAGAACAGTGGACAAGAAGTGAAATCCACAGGCCCTCCATGGTGGTGGATCATTACCAACAAAGGAATCTCTAGGAATACTGGAACCCAAGTGGGAAGCACCACATCTCCTGACAAATGAATTCTACAAGTGCTATGCATAAGCTCCATATTTCCATTCATTCACCTTTTCTTCCAGAGGAAGTCAGAGCCATAATCTATCCCTGAATACCTTTCCATACTTGTACCTTCTACCTCAGGATCTACAACACTCAATAATTGAGATCAATGCAAGAAGAGGACATAATATTTGTATAACAAATAGTGAGACAAGTCTTTGAGCAATGAACAATTCAAAAATAATGTAGGAAGTAAATTCTATTTATACTAGTACAATAAACATAATACTTAGAAATGAGTGTTTGAAAAATGTTACCTTGAACAATGAAAACTATGTGACACAGTTAGTTTAGGAAGCAGCCATTTTTACCTGATCCTTATCTCCTTGCCTCTCAGGAACTTACTTTTAACTTTTACAGAAAGAAAGAATTCTTTTTGCTTCATATTTTATAGGTGCTCCAATGTTGCCGTCTATACATCCAAATGTGCCTCATTATCTCCATTTTCATGAGGAATAACTCAGGTCCACTAAAAGAGGCATGGAGAACCTATGCACTGGAGGACTGAATATCAGGCATGAATATTTCCTACACAATCATTCCCAGTCATGATGTGGGGAAAGGATCATCAACAATCACAACAAATCATTCAGAGACAGCTTAGGATGTCTGATATGAGGGAGAGAGGCAAAAGGTTTATTCCACAGTGTAATGGACATAGTCTGGGAAGACAAGTCTGAGGACCCCTAGATATGTAGCCTACAGTTGCTTCCAGAAACTTCTAGGATCAGAGAAGAGGTAGAAAATCAAAACAAAATGGGGTATGCAAAACAGAAAAGTAAAAACAGACTGGTTTGGAGCAAGTGATCAAGCTTCACATGAATATAGACCTACCCTAAACTATACCTCCACCCATATTCAACCTAATCTTCCTACACAACCATTTTTTGAAGTCTTGGGAAGGAGTACCATTTTCTAAGAAACCCTGGGAGGAAACTTTTCACTAGTTCACTGAAGCAATTGATAAAAGAAAGGCAAGTAGAGCATAGCAAATGCTCACAGACAGTGCCCATGCTCTGAGTTCAAGCCACAGGACCAACAACAAAACCAGGGAAAAAAACTTTTTAAGGAAAGGAAACTTCAGACACAAATAACCAAAAACTCCTTGAAATTTCATAGATGGAATTTGGGAGTTTCTGGGAAAGTAATGAGGAGAGTTTGACAAATCAATTTAATTCAAAGATTATAAAGTATGTCTACTTTAAAATCCTGCTATCTTATTTCAGTATATATATATATATATATATTAGAGCAGGGGGAAATGATCCCAGAATCAATCGGTTAAATGGCTGTAAATATCTGATTGTGTGACTTGAACCCTTGGCCTGAACACTATCCCTGATCCCTTCAGATCAAGGTGAGCTCTACACCAATTGAGCAACAAGGCCACTTCCATTTTTCTGGTGGTTTAATGGAGAGAAAGCTCATGAACTTTCCTGTTCGAACTGGCTTTGGACCAGCATCCTTAGATCTCAACCTCCTGAGTCCCTAGGATTACAGGCATGAGCCACTGGCACATAGGTACAAATACGCTTTTAATGTGAGAAGGGAGATATTCAAAATTTTAAGGCAAACGGGACGTAATTTATATGTACCATATCACACATTTTTAACAATAATAAAAACAAAACCATGGGGTCTCATAACTTCAATTACATTAATAGAACTAAGAATTAAAAGTCCAAAATATCTAATGCTCCTAATACATTTCTTTCTTTTGGTTGATCTTACAAAGTTTCAGGAGGTAAACTGATTTTTCAAGGAGAAACTCACCTTAGTTCCCGTAGATGGGAGAGAGAGTTCCCCATGCATCCATGCACATTTAGGACCAAGTGTCTGGAGCCAGTGAAAACCCTGTAGCAGGCCCACTTCCTCTAGGTGAATGCATCCCATTATGGGAATTGTAGACACAGATCATTTGAAAGTGTGTTTGCAGGAAAGGGAAGAAAAGAGGCCAATGCCTCCTTGCTCACTGTTGGTGTTTTTAGTTTGCAAATTCGGGTTTCTTTCCTTTTGCCTTGCTGCTGGACTTGCTCTTAAGTACAGTTTTGCATTCCATGGTCAGAGCCAAGAGGTAGAAGCCCAGCTTGTCTTCTTGGGAGGTGTAACTTGAAGCCATCTGAGGATCCTAGGGAGAGTCTTTCCCCAGTCTGGGTTTGATGATATCTTATGGGCTCATAGGTTTGTGCTGCCATTAGCACTTGTTCCTCCAGGAACCAGAAACTGGCTGACAAACCTCTGGTCCTCTAGACAAGGAGAGTCAGGAGTTATGCGCTTATACTCCTGAACCTAGAGATTCTGGTACATACCCATGTGACTTTATAAACTTGCTTTTTGTGAATTGGAGCCAATGAATCTTAAACATTCCTTGAAAATGTCTTATATAAACATATTCATCCTCTTTTAACCCTCTGCACTTCCTATGGCTTTTGAAACTTTCAAAATGTTGCTCCCACAGATATACTTTACATGTCTGTTCTGACACATTACAATTTTTCCACTGATATAATTAGCCTATTCTCCATCGCTTAAAATAAGTGAGACTGTCGGGGCAAGTGATTCAATAGTAGAGTGCTTGCCTGCATGAATAAGTCCCAGGTTTGATTCCTCAGAACCACATAAGTAAAAAAAAGCTTGCAGTGCACTGTGGCTCAACTTGTAGAGTGCTAGCTCTGAGTTTAGGAGCTGAAGAACAGTTCCCAGACTCAGAGTTCAGGCCCCATGTCCGACCAAAAAAAAAAAAGAGAGACTTCCTGTGTATGTGTTCCTAATCAATTGATAAAATAGAATTTGAATACAATACAATGCCCTAGATATGTGTGTGCTTGTCCTGATTCTTGAACTCAAGGTCTGGAAAATGACCATGAAATTATTTGGTTCAATGATAATGTTGTATACGTAAGCCACATCTCGACATCCAGCTACTTTGGGTACTTTATTGGAGATAAGTGTCTCAGACATCCGTTTACCCATGGATTTATTTTGTGATCCTTGTAGGGATCCTTCATGTGTATCCCAGGGACCACAAGCAGGCACAGGACAAAGATTATTATAGAGTTTACTAGAAGGACTATATTTCCCAGGAGACAGAGCACATGCATCTGTCTTTCTTCAGGTAGCCAGAGGAGCTGGGGAGCAGGAAGTTAGGTAGGTGCATGCTCAGATAGGTGTGGTTAGAGAGAGGGGTGGTCAGCAGTATGGAGGAAAAATCTAGGTCTGGGAGGAGCTCAGGTCTGGGTGGAGCTGAGGAGCAAAAGAGGGGATAATACTAACTTTCCTCAGATCTCAGCCTACTAAGTAGCTAAGATTACAGCCATTAGACATGAGAGCCCAGTTACAATGTCCTCTTTGAAATTCAGATTATATCCTAAAAAATAATATGAAATAGAAAACTTGAAAATTTTAAGGCAAGATATTCAGTCGCTAATATGGATTTGGACAGTTCAAATCCCAGAATAATCAGAAAATACCCAACCTTGAAAGTTGTAACACTCCTCATCTTAAATATTGTGAATGTGAACACTTAGCCTATAATAAATTCTCTTTAAGTTTCTCAAAGTAAGAAAACATTCTTGTGAATTAGAAAAACCCAGTACTAATGTGCAAACACTGCTTTTAAAGGATTCATATCGTCGTTCCTATCAAAAACACCTTACTGAAGTAAACAGAATTGATTTTCTCTTTTTGTGAATGTCACTGCAAAGTTCATGCATTTTATATTAACAATTACCATTGTGGGTAAGTGTAAGAAAAACCAGAATCCTGGATCAAAGAATTTCCTGTGTAATCAACCAACAAGTATAAGCAAAAGCACATACCTATATAAGTTCTTTTACATTTTATGGATCTACATTTTGGAGTGTATTTTCTGTTAATATTGTTTAGTAATACATAAGACTTCACTCTTCTGTGGATTTGTCTTTAGTGGAGACTTTAATGCTCTACTTGATTCAGGAATGTTTCTTCTCCCATAAGAAGGCTTTATGCTTTTCCAGCCCACCTATCATGTTCTGACCAGAAACTTCTAGGGTAAAATCACACAGGTTCTTTTCTGACTCTCTCATCTGGCTTCTCTCCAAGCCATGGTTCCAGAATCTTTACTTGTTGTCTAAAGCAAGAAAGAATGAAAGGATCTCTGATGAGATTCTTTTATTTCTCACTCTGTTTGACATTCCATGTTATGAACCTAATTGTGTCCAAGACTGAAAAACAGAAAAAAAAAAGATTCATCTTTAGGAACATGTTTCTAAAAAAGCTAAAGATGGCTTGTAGATTTAGCAGATGATCAAATCTTGCCTTCTAAGTTAAGTGCAGAATTGCTTTAGTTTGCTTCTCATTTTTTAATTTGACCACAATGTTGCCTCACTTTTTTGGGATTCAATGACACCTAGGAGGTAAGTTCTCATGGATGGTAAAGGTTGCCTAGAATCTTGTCAGACATCACATCCACAAAAATAACATTAGACTATCCTAATGAAGTTTTAATGGATTTGCTGAAAAAGTGTGGTCAAACATAATTTTGACTGCTGTACAGGACTGAGTGTGTTATAAGTAGTTCAATTAATCTCTGTTAATACTCTTGGACTTCTTTGTGGTATTTGTCTTTCTTGAAACTTAGTCCATATTTGATGGTATTTATAGAAATCTTTGTTTTTCCCTAAGTTATGTACAAGTGTAGAAGTACTGGACAATATTTCTGTGTAATTCTATATTCAGTTCTTTTTAGGACTTTTTGTCCCATCTTTGATAGTTTTACATACCGGAGAGAAATGCACCAAGTTCACATTGTTGTCACATCTTTCCTAGATTTTGTTAGACTTTGGAAGGATTTTTGTTGTTTTGTTTAAAACTATGGCCACACTAACATGTATAAAATGGTTATTTTATTTTACTTTTGATTGGAACTTTTCTCATGACTATTGATACTACTTTTATATTTTAATCTTCACAATAAATATTTTAAGAATGCAAAAACAAGAGAAACACAGAGTAAGTTCTCCAGTGGATGTAGGTAGCAGTTAGTGCAGGGAGGGTGAGCAGACATGGTAAAGGAGAGGAATATGGTTTGATAAAAGTGTATTTGTGTATGTGTGTCTATGTGTGTGGTTGTGTGTTGTGTTTATCAATGAAACTTGCTGACTTTGGGTTTTTTTTGTTTTCATTTGCTCATTTCATCTTGTTTTTGTTGCTCTTGTTTGACATTCCTAGGGCTAGAATTCAGGGCTTGAAAACTGTTTCTGAAATTCATTATGCTGAAGGCTACCACTCTACCATTTCAGCTACAGCACCAGTGCTTCTAGAGGTATTTGGGTGCTGTTGTTGTTTATTAGGTACTGAGATATCAAAGTTAGTGCTCCATGCATGCTACGCAAGCACTTTATCACTAATCCACATTGCCAGCCCCAACCACACTGTTTTAAGGAGACACGGCTGTGAGTGTGGCTCAATGGTAGAGTGCTTGCCTTGCATACATGAGGCACTGGGTTCCATTCCTCAGCACCACATCAGCAGAAAATTCATTGTGACTTATCACCAATGAAATGCCAGAAAACTAGAAGTGACATTCTGGCTGGAAGTGGTAGCATGCCAGCCTTCAGTGAAAAGCATAGGGAATATACCAGGCCCTCCCTGAGTTTAAACCCCACAGCTAACAATTGAAAGAAAAAAGAAACAATCCCAAACAAAAACCTAATTACTGTCTCATTGCTTTTGTTCTTCTACTTTGCTTTGTAGTTGTAACTGTATACTTCCTGTCATTCCATTTTCTACTGTCTTCCTTTCACTTGAGGGGTTGAACCTTCAGACTTGGACATGGAAAGTGGATACTACATACCAACCTATTCTTTCTTCTTTTAACATAAAAAGTCTGTTTATAGGACAGGGAAGTTAGCTAAGTGGTACAGTGCTTGTATCGCAGGAAAGAGGAGCTGGGTTCTATTTCTCAGGTTCTCATTCACAGAAAAAGCCAGAAGTGGTGCTGTGGCTCAAGTGGTAGAGTTCTACCCTTGAGCAAATGCAGCTCAGGGACAGCACCTGACCCCTGGGTTCAAGCTTAAAGACCAGCAAAACAAAAAGTCTGCTCATTTAAATTAATCAATGCTTCCTCTGGAATTTAAAAGACAAACTTACAAGTGACATAAGTTCACTTTGAATAGTATTGTCCTCCTTTCCAGAGAGTTCATGGACCGCACACAGAACTCTGCTGTCATTTATAAACTAGCTGTTGTACAACATTAAGCATCAACACATACATTTCTGTTATTATTTTGAACACAATGGGATTTGTAAGGGTTGGTAAAAATAAGTGAAGAAAACCCTTCTTTTTTACCTATTTGTTGTGATAGTAATGGATCTATTTTCCTGTACACTCAAGTCACACACTTGTCATTGAAGTTCTCTCTGAACTATTTTCAATTTCTTTTCTTCTTAGGGCACATACATTCATACACATCCTGAAGAATTTTTACTAGTTCATCTAACAATGTTTTACTACCAATTCTCCTAGTCCACAAGTAATTGTATCATCTACATAGGACAAGACTATTACATTAGGCCACTGACTTCTCTGATAGGTCCGTGTGTCAACAGTCAGCACTACAGGAAACACGTGTGCACCTTGGCCCATGCTGCAGCTGCCATGCTGTGCTGGTGGTGGACTGATGGGTAGCACATACCCTGCTCTGGGCTTCTCACTCCTGTCCCAAGGGGCTTGCCAGGTTTGCCTATTGCATGAAGATTTTGGCACTGCCCTCCTCTCCTCAGCTGGCTCCTTACCAAACTTTTCTTTCCTGTGCCTTCCATTTTGAGTTCTGGCCTAGACCATGAGCCTAACCAACTTCCACCGCATCAGATGAAGTCTGCACATCAAACTTTTGGTAACAAACATTTAAGTTAGAATGCACATATAAAGTTTTGGCTGGGTTTTGCTCAGACTTCATAATCAAGTGAGCCAAAAGATGGTTGGCTTTGGATGCTCCAGGTAGTCATCTACTCAAAGTACTGAGACCTCTATAACAGGGACTTCATACAAGGGTGTAAGTGATCCAGAAAAATGAAAGAGAATTTTAAAAGAACTTCTCAATTCATTGAGCAAACAGAAAAATATGTACACTTAATGTTAAGCTAATTATTGGAGGAATAATGACCTAGAGCTGGACAAACATGAAGATATAAGTGCTCAAGGTAAAGCAAGGGGGCCTTGGGTGGTGCCTGAGGATCTAGTGAAAATCCTATGATAGCCTTGTTCAGTACCCACTATGCTCAGTATCCCTGCTTCTTTCCCTTGCAGT